TATGTATGTATGTATGTATATGACAGGTAGAGACGTTTCAGAGAGGTTCCCAATCCACTTGCTCATCATCTTCTTCTAGACTGCCCAGCACGACTTGCACCAACCCGCTGAGCAGGATGGTCGCTCGTCCAAAGGGCCGCGAGGCGCGTCTCCTGTGGTTTGGGGTCCACTGTAACGGAGTTCCACGACTAGAGATTAAGATTTTCGAGTTCAAGCCACAGAAGCCACTTTTCAGGCGGGTCTAACTGGGTTTGCGTGATTTGTCTTGGGGCCAAGGGTCCGTGCTGCTCTGCACGACCGGACCAAGAGCCGTGCTCGATTCCTTTGAGTCATGAGCCTGAACCCTGGTGTAGTACGAGTTCGTGTCTCAGCTCCCGATTCCAGTAATCCTGTAACAACCGAGGTTTGCTACTGAGATAGTCTCATCTCCCGGCAGCACCTCAGGGACTGTGTTGACGAACTCCAGACATCCACTTTGAGCTGGTGCCCCGTGCAGGCTTTTTGCCAGACATGATTAGTTCGCCGAGGCATTCCCTTGCGGCCGGCCTATGTCGCTCTGATGCAGGCATGGCCATGACCCATCATGACACGAATGCAGCGAAAGCCATCGGCCTTGCACCAACAGTTTCGTATGCATCGCCTTGCCTGCCTAAACATGGGGAGCGGTTTGAGACTGAACCTACGACACAGCACGTTGTGTAGTCTAATCGGTCAGAAGCGAGCAAGCAGCTGTCAATGCAAATCGCAGGCGTTCGCACGGGCGCAGAACAGAGAACAGGCCAAAGACCTCCTCGTGCGACTGGAGGCGTGGTTCAACTAGCTTTGCTTCCAAATTTTCCATGGCTCCGGCCGCAGATGGTTCGTTGCATCCTTCCCGATGGTCGCAAGCATGTTGTGTCGGCGCGTTCAATGCTTTCTCTATGTCCGAGAAGCTTGATGTCGGCGAGCTGCCAAGATACCGTACAACCCGAAACCTTTGAAGCACTCGAAACTCCAAACCTGCTCGAGGCCGAAGAGGGGCGAGTGGACACCATGGCTCGAACGACTCTGGTCGAAGAGTTTGCCAGCCCCGGACTCGGTTGTTGGAGGCGTCATGGAGGGTCCATCAAAGGCCTGGATCGCCGTTCTGTTGCGGACCCGCCCATCATGCCGAAGAGACGACGGCTCCAGTGAATACATGTCATGTGTGTTTGTATATATCATTGTAGTGTGTATGTATATGTGTGTATATTTATATTACATACATACATACATACATACATACATACATACATACATACACATATGCACATATATATATACACATACATATACATATACATGTTTTGTTTATACAGCTATTTGTATGCGTATGTATGCATACACAGCTACATATATAGATATAGATATAGATACAGATATATATATATGTGTGTGTCTATGCGCCTACATATGCTTACTTGAGTGAGTGAGTGACTCAGTCATTGAGCGATGGGCTGGGCGTGGCACACTCGTTTCCTTGGCTGGTGTTGTCCGTATGTTTTTTGTCACAGCAGCAGGAAAAGAGAGAAGCCATGGAGGCAGCTTTGCATAAGAGGAAGTTGCAGCACGTTCGCCGCAAAGCCGCCACAGCCATCAGAGTTCCGAGCGTCTTGCCTTGTGACACTCCAGGCCACGACAGTCCGGAGGCCGGGCCAACCTGTCGTTATTGTCGTTCCGTGTCGGCGAAAAGAAACTCGGGGTTCTCCGGTGATTTCTCTCTCCCGTGCTAAGAAGCTGCGCTTGGAGTGCCTCGTGCATCAGAACTGCAACGCTTCCCTGAATGATGTTCTCACACCTGCCAAGAGCCTTTTTTTTCTCGTATTCTGCATACCTGTATAGCAAGGATAAGGTCATGATGCGATTAAGCCTAAGGATCGAGGAGCCGCTTGCACTCTTCTTCGGTTATATTATATATACTTCCATGGACACTTGGCGCCTTGATTTTTTTGCGAGGCGGCACGGCAGCTCACGCAGCAGCTTCAGGAGGCATGATGGCTTTCGAGTTTCGGTATTCCGACGTGAATAGTGACAGTGGAAATAAGATTCTGAAGTAGGGACGCAATACAGATGGGAACGGACGCGGGGCTCCCTAAGTCCTTGACACCTTCCATGAAGGACAACAGGGGTGGTTATAGATCCTGATTTGTAAGTCTTTTGGAAGTGCTCCTTGTGCCTCGACCCAACGTTGCCCCTCGTCCTGCTGCCACCTGTTCAGCTTGGCCAAAGGATGGGAACCTGACCGTCCAGTTGTTTGGACGGGTGATATCCGCCTGTGCGAAGGCAGCGGAAACAACAGACCCATGCAGAATGCTGCAGAGTCCAGTGGAGTGTGGCGGGAATGGTTGCTGCGCCTGAGGGTCAGGAACTCGAAGACAAGTTCTAATGTTGGTGTTCTGGCGGCTTTTGCTCGTGGTGCTCACTGCTGCGGCGATTCAGAGTCCTTTTGCTACCCGGGCCGGGCCCTGCGACAGGCGAGCAAGACCGACGAAGCAATCCAGTGGTTCGATGCCGCCTGGATGCACCGGTGCTTGTCAAGGCAGCGACCGCAGCTGTAGTGCCAAAGCCGTACAATCTACATCCTAGTGGTGCTTTTTGTTATTCTGTCGACATGAGTTGTGCTGCCGTGTCTCCCGGCCCTCCAAATCCAAGCCCTTGGACATCTGAGAACATGGTCTCCGCCACTGTCGAACCAGATGCAGTCGCTTGGAATGGAAACTTGGCGGCAACGCGAGCCTCCACGAAGACACTGGCTTTGCCTCGATTGCTTTAGCTTCTTTGCCTCAAGAGTCTGGTGCTCAAGGTTATGTCAGCTTGAGTGCAAGCCGAGGCGTCATCAATGCTTGTTCCAGGCCTGTCCTCGCTTGGACATTCTCGAAGTTTAGCTTTTGTAAGATCCGGCAGGCTTTCACACGCACAATGCTGACATAGTATCAACACTCTTTGCAGGGATCTGTGCTGCCGGCAGGGTGGGGCGAGTCACAGAGGCTGAGATGTGGCTCGGTGATTGCCCCAAGCTGCACCGCAGAAGCGATTCTTCATGTGGGTGACGATCCAGAAGCATGCACGAGAGTCCTGTGAGTATCGCACGATCCCCGTCTGACATACTTTCAGCAACGACGGCCTGCACTGCTTGGAGACAGCGCAAGACAGGTGAAATGGAAGCCTCGGGCATCACTCCCGATGTCTTCTCTTACACGACTGCCGCTTGCCCAGCACATTGCGGTGGGCTTTTGGACATAACTATTTTTGTAGCATCTCACTGATTTCGCATCCAGAAACTGCTAAGCAGGCGAGTTTACCAGTTTATCTAGCAGAATCTGGCAACCTGCCAGTAGCCACGGAGGTTCTCAGTGTTTTTTGGACTTCGCCGGCTCGGGGCAGAGATTCTGTTCAACCAGAGCCATTCGACTCTCGGAGCGGACTGAGCAGGTCATCAATGCTTGCGCCCAGTCGGGTCGACCGCAGGAGGCGGTGTTGCTGGGGCAGCAGTAGCAGCACTTGCCTGAGTCGGAAGTTCGAAACGGACACACGCTAGTTGTGGCTGGGCCTCAACCTGAGAGCCACTCAGCCACTCGTTGTTGCGAAATCTTGTGCCAGCACTCGCCGGCTGCATCCGCAGGCTCAACAGCTACGGGCAGTAAACTTTGGTATTGTCCGTTATGACACTTCCAGCAGGACCGTCGCATAGATACCGACATCAATTGCCAAGTTGAATGTCTTTGTCCGTGCGGTTGAGCGGCTCGGGGTGGCAACCATGTCGCTCCTGGTTCCTAGCTCGCCGACCACATCCGGGAAGACCCATTTTATGCCGCATGATTGCACTTGGGGAGCGCAGAAGCGATAGTAGCAGAATGTTGCAGAGTAGCATAGAATAGTGTAGAATTGTTGCAGGCACACTCCAGTGCAGACATCAGCCAGGAACAGAGGAAATGCAGCCTCGAGACTTCCCCCTTCCTACTTTACAGTATACCTCGGGACCGACATGGGGACACGGGGGCACCTCCCAGGCACCATTTGTCATCGGGCACTTTGAGATCGGCTCGAAGCTCAGCGGTTTGTTCTTCGGACATCGTCTCAACGCGCTCTGAAAGTGCTGCTTTCCCAACCTGAAGCGGAGAGTTCGCTGTTCAAACTCCAAGAGGCTGCCAAAGCTACGCCAAGGGGAACTATTTGTTTGGAGTTGAGGCGCTCACACCAGTTACGGAACCGAGGAGGTCTGCGACCTTGCCAAGAAGAAGCAGTGGAAACAAGAACTTTGGCAGAATTACTACAGCCCAGGTTTTAAGCAGACGCAAGCAGGTGAGTTGGTCGTGAACAGCAGCATGCATCGCGTCGTGGGGGATTTTCGAAGACAGGACGTTGGATATTCCGTCTACTGCAGCAATAGAAGCAGAGCTATCTTGGCACAGCTTGGCCCCGAAGGCACTGCAGCTGCTACATCAAGCATCCAGTTGCACGGCCCAGGTTGACGTGGTGACCCGGCTGAAGGTGTTCTGCCTGCTTTTGACTAGAGTAAACGGATAGGAAGTTCAGCAACCTAAAGTCTCTACATAAAATTCACAAATCCACTGATATTTGCCAACCCCGGGTCCGTCTCATTGCAACTTCCTGAGCAACTTGCATCAGCGAGGTGAGCTTCAATGCCACGATCAGCGCTTGCGGCAAAAGCAAGATCTGGGAAGCATCGCTGTCCGTTCTCGCTGACATTGACAGGCTTGCATGATGCATGCACGCGAACAGTTACCTTACTGCCTCACACAGATGTCGTCGGGATTCGTCGGGTCAGAAGAGTCTTGGACGTGCCCACAGCCCCCGACTCCAGGGAACGTCTGCAGAAGGACCTCTTCAGCTACAACACATCTTTCAGCGCCATTGCTGTGGTTGAGATGCTCGGCACATTAATGAGCAGCAGGACCAGGAGTGTTCTAAACGCCTTCGCATGATACTTGGGCACCTGCTCAATCTCAGGCAGTGGCGATGGTCCCTTCACCTGCTTCGTGACGTGAAGGCCATGGGGGGCCTCAGCAGAATCTGCCAGCAAGGAACGGCGAGAAGCCTTCCTATGTGCAAGCAAGAAGGGATAAGTGGGCCTTTGCATGAGGCCAGACATCTTCGGAGCGACATCATCAGCTGCAATACCGCCATAGATGGGTGTCAACAGAAGTGGAGCCTGTCACTAGCCGTCCTGGCCAAGATGTCTCAGCAGAATCTGCAGCCAGACGTCATTGCCCATGACACTGCTTCTTTTTGGCAATGGCAGTGCGTCCAGGTGCTCCACCGCAGTTTTGCTGCCCTGAGGCCGTTAGCTCCTCCGAGAAAGGAAACTACTGGGATCGTGCCCTGGACGTGCTACGGACCCTCGAGGCCAGCTTTGTTCATGAATGATCTGACTGGGTCATCATCGTCGCTGTGCTTGTATAGAAAGTACATGCACCTGACAACCAGCACAGACGCATGACCCTGAGGCTGGCGACATACAAGCTGATGCGATGCTTGTTTGCACGGGCGGCGTTTGCCGTTGGCAGTTTGAGCAGTGAGCTTCGGCGCATGCATGTGCACGACAAGTACAGTCTCGGACTCTGCTTGCAGCTGTTTCCTGCACGTGCCACTCAGGATTGGAATCAGTGCTGCGATAAGCACTGGCGGAGCAGGATTCTGGCTGCATAGGCATGAAGGAGTGAGAGCCTGCAGAGATTAGCCACAATTGAGCCACAATGGGGTCTGAACCCTGTCTTGCGATTCATGTTTGTTGCTGGAGCGGCGGTCTAGAAGCGGAATGTTGCATCGAGGCAGCACTTCGCCAGCAGAGAGAAAGAGAGGCTGTGGGAGGGCAACTCACCACAGCCCTGGCGAAAGAATAAGGTCGTCAAGAAGAGACAGACAGAGGCAGAGCCCCATAACATATCGGGGGCCTTAACGGCCGGGGGGCCTGACCCGCTCCCTAAGCCCTGGCGAAGAAGAAGAGAGAGAGGTTTGGGGATTGAGCTTTAGTGCATGGCTTCACATGCCGACCTTCTCTGATCGCCTAAGCAGGTACACCTCCCAGCATTCTTTAGCTGCAGTGAGGGGCTTCAAATCCAGTGAAGACATCAAGAGCTAGCAGCTGGCAGCAACAGGAGTCGCAGTGGTAAGAACACTATGCTTGGCAGTCGCAGTGGGTGTGGGAACGCTATACCAAGTGCCATAAATACTCGTAACAGCAGTGGTTTCTTCCGTTTGTGAGCAAATGCTGCTAGGATAACGACTCCAGCTAATGCGACAAAACTCTGCCTTAAACTCAGGAGATCGGTGGCAAAGATCCCTTGATTTGCTCTTTAGGCTCCAGACCTCTGCCATGAAGCCTGGCTGAGAGTGATCCTGCAGACTTCTTCAAACGATGGCTGCTGTTCAGATACCCGTAACTTGGTTTAGGCCTCGTCGGTTTGGTGTCGTCAGCCCAGTATGCACGGGGGGTACGTTGCCCTCCGGCAACAGTTCAATGCCCTTGTGCACTGCCGCTTTAGACTCCGTCAACACTTCACCAGACAGGCTATACTGACTGCCATATAGGGCACCAAAGCCCACGAAAGCCCACGAAGTGTTGCTCAAAGTGTTTTGCTCATCAGTTCTCAACGCAGCTTTGTGTCCCACACAGCGGAGGCTCCGGGCCCTCAGGTCATCAATCCTCTGGCAAACCTCTCAATCATCAATCAAGTTTGTCGTCGAAGCTTTTTTTCTCAACGGCAGTACTTCCTGGGTGCCTAGCTCGTGGTGCAGATGCGCCTGCACAAAATTAAGCTGGCAAAGTGTGACAATGCATTTTGAGGTCTGAGCCAGCTCAGGTGCGCAACCACCATCAGCTACAACGCAGCCATAGGCAGTAGTGGCACTGGACGCCACTGGCAGACGGCATTCGATGTGGCACTTGAACTGACACGACACAGTCTCAGGACTCTGGTCCGGTCTGGGGGTCATTGGCATCAGAAATTAGCTAATTAATCATTTCTCTGACAAGCAGCATCTGCTTGACCGCTTGCGCAGCAGGGAGTTGTGTCATGCCGTCTTGAGGAGAAGCTTGGTCACCTTCAACACGAGCATCAGTGCTTGCGAAAAGGCAACATCCTGGACAAGCGCGTTGCATGTGTATCACATGGTCCATGAAAGCAGCTGGAGTCCCAACTTGCTTACCTGTGGCGCTACGCTGAGTGCCCTTGAAAAGGGCCAGCAGTGGCAACTTGGTGTGGCTTTCTTGCACGAACTTCTCGATCGCCGTGCGACACCCAATTTGATCCTGCTCAATGCCGTGATCAGTGCTTGCGAAAAAAGCGAACAATGGCAGTACGCGTTGTTTGTTGCATCGCAAATCGGAGACCTTAAGCTACAGCCAAGCGTCGTCACCTACAGTGCACTTATCAGCGCATGTGGACGCTGCGGACACTGGCAGGCAGCATTTGATGTGCTTGGTGAATTCATGAATTCAAACCTTCAGGGAAATGTCCTCGCCTTAGTGTATGCTGATGTGATGACTTTGCTTTCTGCCTGTCTCGTTCTACACGCCAAATTCTGTATTCTTCAGCAGTCAACTCTTCACTGCTGCGCATACCGTTCCAGCCAAGTTGATCATTTACAATGCGGCCATCGATGCTTTGGAGGGGAGTGAGCACTGGCGGTCAGCATTTGTGCTTGTGGAGGACCTTCGACATCGAGGCCTCCAAAGCTCGCCTGAAGAGTATTGTCTACTAGTCTATACATCAAAAAAATTGTGAAAAGGTCGCTACCAAGCTCCGTTGCAGATCCAACTTCGCGGCATGCGACATACTTTTAATCTCGTCACACTGTTGGGCAGACCGCGTGATAGTCGGACTCAACTCGCGGGGCGCCTGTTGCAGAGGCATGCAGCGGAACATCGTCACCTTCGGGGCGACCATCAGTGCATGTGGATCGCACCTCGAGATGCACTTTGATTAGCTTGGGAGACTTTGGAAGCCTTACTCACCGGCTGTTTATAGGCTGCTTGTAGGTGGCAGGTTCTGGCAGTTCACTTCCATGGATCAGCTGACCTCTAACTTTGTCATCATGTTTCCAACCTGCTCATAGGTTCAGTTTGCCCTCCTAATGGACCGGCAGGCGGCTGCAGTGGAGACTGGCTCTGGGGCTACTATGCCAGCTTGACGAGCTGCTCTTGGAAGCAAACGAGATTGTTCTGGGAGCCGCTGCTGTTGCATGCGAGCTTGCAACACATGCGGAGCAGAATCAAAAAGTAATTCGATTCAGGCGTGTAACTTGTGTGTTCGTCGCCTTTGGCATGCTCTAGACTCTGGCCCTGCAGCCACATGGCTTTCAGCATGGAACGATAGAATTGGTCTTGCAGGCCCAAAGCCCATGATGGAGCATGTGCACCTTTGGGAGGACACCCTCCTTTGGTTAGCGGAGCAGGCAGCAACAAGGCTGGCCAAGACAAAAACCTACAACATCGCCATCACTGCGTGCGGAAAGGGCGCGAATTGGCAAGCAGCTTTGACGTGCTTTCAGGAAATTTTCCTTGCAAAGCTGCAGCCGGATGTTGTCACTTACAACAGCGCTATCACTGCTTGCACACAGGGAACCAGCTGGCCAGCGTCTTTGCTTCTCTTCTTTGAGCTTCTAAACACCGAACTGGAGCCGGACTCATTCACCCTTAACGCCGCCCTTTGTGCTTGTGCGCCTGCCTGGCATTCTAGAAGGGATGTTTTCTGTTTCGTTGCAAAGTTTTTACGTCTCTCCGTTGTTGTGAGAGCAGAAAGCCTCGAGGAGCCTGTCGGCAAGTGGGAACTCGCCGCTTCGGTTTTGCATGACGCCGGGCCAATGACCACAGGGAGCATTGGAAGAAATACGATGGTGTGGAATGCTGGCATTTCCGTGTATTCGAGAGCTGGAGAGTGGGAGCGCGCCATCGACTTGCTAACACGGATGCACACGGCCGGCGTGCAACGTTCCGAGGTCTCCTACAATGCCGCTATTTTCGCTTGCAGCAGGGTGGGTCAATGGCTTCGTGCTGTCTCACTTCTCCGACACATGCAGGAACAGTTGCTCCGTGCGGACACGATCTCTTACAATGCTGCCATGGCCTGGGAGGGGTCTGGGAATTGGGAAATAGCGCTAGGCCTCTTCGCAGAACTTCAGGAGAGTTCGATGGGGCCCAGCATCGTGACTTACGGTTCACTCGTGAAGGCCTGCGCAAGCGAGGAACAGTGGCAGACTGCTCTGCTTTGCTTTGAGGAGGTGCAGCGAAGCAGCTTGCAGATGAGCGTCATCGCCTATACCGCAGCGATCAGCAGCTGCGAAAAGGGCTCTCATTGGGAGCTTGCACTGTGCTGCTTGTTCGACTGCGCTCGCAGGGAGATGGTGCCAGACATAACGTCTTTCAACACTGCCATCAGGGCATGTGGAAATGCCGACCAGCTGCGACGGGTTCGACTGCTGCACGTGATTCTAAGGCGTCGGCAAATACGAGAGAACTTGTCGACCTTCAATGCGTTGATCGTCTCGCATGGCAGAGCCAGCCAGTGGCAGCAGGCAGTTGCATACCTTGCAGATCTTGAGGCGCTCAACTTTCGACCAGATGCCATTACCTTCAATGCGTTGAGCAGCGCATGCACCAAGAACGACCAGTGGGAATGTGCTCTGCAGTTGCTCGCAGAAGCTCAACAGGCCCTACTTCCGGCAGATAACGTTTCATATGGGACGAGAATCACTGCCCTTGCCAGGGCAGGTCGATGGGAGGAGGTGCTGCTTCTGCTTGCTGACCTGGAGGCAGAAGGTTGCGTGCCGGATGTCATTGTGTACAACGCAGCAATTGCTGCCTGTGAGGATGCTTGGCGGGTTTGCCTGACGCTGCTTGGTGAGCTGCAGAGGAAGCAGCTTACGGCCGATGCGAGAACTATCACAAGTCTCATCAGCGCCTGCCGAAGCAGTTCTGCTTGGCAGCCGGCTTTGCACCTTCTCTCGATGCAGCGAGCGTATTGCGTGTCAGATATGTCCTATTGTTACAATGCAGCCATCAGCACCTGCGGCCGCGCAGATGAGTGGGAGGTGGTCGTGGACCTTCTAAGCAGCATGGTAGAGGACCTTATTGCAGTCTCCAGTAGTGACTAGTTAGTGCGACCGTAAGGTCAATGCCAAACTGTGGACCCCTTATCCGGGGTCCTAGGCGTAAGCCGAGTTCTTGTGCAGGATGGTCTTCAACCGGACCTAATGGGGTATGATCCCGCACTGGCAGCCATCGTCAGCTCTGGTCAGCAAGAGCAGGTGGCCAGGGACGAGGGGCCACTTTCCAATACCGATTGTCGTGACACGGCATGGGACTTAGAAACCAAGTCAGTAGCCGACTAGCTGCTGTCTGCTGGCCTCCACGTGCATGTTGAGAGTTGAGCTCTCCACTCTCCACTTCTGGACTCGTCCCGGTTTACGAACCTCCAAGTAGCGTGACCTCCCCGTCCTCTTGCGGCCGATTCTACTATGAATGTTACGACGACTACTGCTACTGCTACTGCTACTGCTACTCCTGCTGCTACTCCT